GAAAATAAATAACAGCAAACTCACCAACGGTGGACAAAGTCTCCCTAATATTCCATCTCAAATTTAAGCCAGTTCAGTTTGGAAACCAAAGAAGCATATCAGTTGGCTGCATTACAGATGTCATGCAGTGATAAACAATGACGTGGGCTTTTCACCGTTTACTAAGCTACCCAAAATCCCTTTATCACAGGTTCCGTCCGTAGACTAAAGTGGGCGATGCAGATTATATTGCTTCCTAATTTGTTCTTGAATTTCTGAATGTTACTGTGTCAAAACTAACCCTAGTTTAGCTACCTCTGGCTATAAAGTTCCTGGACAACGAATTACCACTTTCGAAGTAAAATGTAGACAATGACAGTTCGCAATAACTATTTTGCACCTAGCTGTGCAGGATAACGCAATCAGAGGTTGAATACACCACAGGACTGGAAATCCTCGTTTAACCTCTATAGAGCTGCTGTTCTGTTGGAAATAAGATAAAGCAATTTTTCGGACTGGAGTGATGACTTTGAGATGTGAATTGATGGTCGATAATCACTTCAGTATAACGTCTAATCCACCAGTAGCAACAATGCACACTGTGAAAAGTGAAATTTCCGTCATCATCCAGTTGTATATTCACAGCCGACTAGGTTTTTACACACAATAGTAGGGTGCCATGCTGATTACGTAACAAAGGGAGTCCGCATGTCACTCTTCGCTGATGATTCACAGGACCTGTCAATTTAGAGTTTACGCCAGCGCACACGATGCGCATGGCGATCCACCACTGACACGCTGTAAGTCATATCGTAATTTTAAAGGCATGCCCACGGCTTTGATCAAGTACGTTGAAAGAATCGCGTGAAAACAGTTGTGTAGGATACTTTGTATAGACCACGTGGGACAAATATCTTTTTATCAGTGTAATTAAAGATATCCCGAGTGATAGGACATACAAATCCTGGACAATTACTGGTGTTAATTTATCTGTCATAACCACACACAAACCTTCGTGATTATATACAGTCACCGACATTCTTTGTTTCGTATGACTCAGAAACATGAAAACTGTCAACGTCACCGCTAGTAGTAGTTCAACGTTAAGACTCGGAACCGCATGAACCGCGGTCGACCTTAAATACGTTTACAGTTCGAGTTTCAACTAAAGCATTCTTGTATTTTGATACATATAAATCCCGTGGTTTGAATTTGATATCGAAATGGGCTTTGTAGGAAAATTTCTGGAAAGGGGAATTTCGGGTAATTTGTGCCTCATTTGGAAGACCCTCAAGGAGTGGAAATCCAGGCGAGTTAAAATTTCTAATACATTAATTTCTCTATCAACCGTTTCAGGTTTCCCAGCGTGCATACGAATCTTGGATTGGTGATAGTGAGACCCTGGTAAAATAAAAGTGTGCTTATTAATAGGGGGCCACGCTAACAAATAGGTGAAAACTAGCTTGGTATGAATTGTTGATGAACCTACAAGCGCTCCCTCAACTTTGTCTACTGTAACTTGTATTCATGTTGAGAGAATTGAATTTCGGAAGTGCACTTGTGGTTAGTGTTGGAGATTTTGTTCTGCTTCGTCCGCGATGCCTGATAATTCAGGTCAATATCCGCTGTAGATCTGCCGAACACAAACGATATTTGACTAAAGTCTATTGTTCCGGTGATCCCGACTTTTCCATCAATCCCAAGTCCGTGATTGTTGATCGGGGTTCTTCAAAGTCATCCGTGGGTTTATATTAAGGATAGCAATGCTTACGCAAAAGTGTTGCCTTGAAGACTAGTTCAATACACTGCTTCGAACCACGTAATGTGTCAGTCCCGTCGGCCGTTGGTGTTTAACAGCAAAGCATCAAATATGTGTCATAATGGCAGTGATGGTTGGTGGGTCCAGCTACCTTTTACCGATTAAATTACCTTGTTCAAATCTGCTAACACGAGTACTTAATTTCGAAGTGGAGATCTTCTGCTGCGTGACGCTCTGGTGAACACGTAATTTACGAATGAGATTCCAGTTCGATGCAAGCAAAGTCGTCACCCAAAAGAAGAGGTGCCACAGCTGTATTGTCCAGTTGGTGAATAACTTACCCATTTTAATTAGTTCACAATATAAGATGCGAATCTTTCATTGGTACACTTATTCGCGACAAGTCCATAGAATATTTGTTTGCGTCATTTACTGTCAATGGGTTGAGTAGTGTATTTCTTCGTGAATTTCCGGTAGTCCCGTACCAAACAAATAAGTGATCGAATATATTGCAGAGGCTTCTGATTGGCAAAATAAAGGTTGTATGTGTAAGAATCTATACGCCTTCCGATGATGTCCCTCACAGCTTATAATTAAGGTATGCACGAAACAAAGGCTTGGTAGATCGAAGTATTGGTGACTCCCACGGACAAAACAGCTAGAAGGCAACCTTTAATCGGGGTAATCTAAAAGAAATTCACAGAAACAAACTGACAGCCACCCAATAAATGAATTGCGAATTCTAATGTGGCTTCACCAACCGGCAGTTTTAGACGTCTCATTTTCGCACTGAAAAATAAAGCATTCGGTGCTAGACTTTACCTTGAGGAAGCCCGTCTGGAAATAACTAGGTGCTTACTTGATTACACATTCATGTCAACTAGCGTAGTGTCAAGTGGTTCAACCTGAAAATGATCAATCCACAGTGAAGCAAAAGTGACACGGATGACTTCGCAGCAGCTTCTGGAAAATCGGTACATAGACCACGCCGGTGGATTGATAAAACTGTAAAACGCATCTCATGGATGTCACATCCGTTGAAGAGAGGTAAATCAAGCTCAATCTGAGTGGAATAGACAGCCAATACGTTTGTATGGCTGGGTGGTGACCGGTGATTAATTGGCTGACATCAGGCACATGGTCAATCCGAACGAGCCGTTTCATGTCTTTTGCCAATGTGCTCTGAGTATCGACCCAACTGCGTTGTTTGACTAGAGACGTGGCAATACGGGTGCACTACATCTAAGAACCCCGATACCGTGTTTACAAAAGTGATTCGTACAAACACTGAGTCTGTCTTCGTCAGACGACACGAACCAGCCAACCACGTTTTTCACTGGTCCTGTGTTGAACGCTCTTCAAGGCGCGACATACGCTATCACAGCCAAGAATCGCACGTCAGGCACAAAGCAACCATCATACTTGATCTGTGGTGAGATTCAATGGAAAGGTTGTATATTCGACGCCATTCGTCACGAAATTAAATGTCGTGGAAAGGTTGTATATTCGACGCCATTCGTCGAAAGTACGCACACAGCCTGCGATGCTAGTAAGCACATGTCATATCATAGGATGATTTTATTATAAATTTTGCAAAAGCATAAAAATTTCTTTCTGATTTCTTAGCTCGTTTGATTCTGCCATTTTGTGACGACGTCCCGGGAATCGCTTAATATTATTAACAAGACTGAGGCACGGTAAAAATTGGTGAGTATGTGCATACCATTTGTGTTTATTGATATTTATTTGTTATACATAATTGTATGTCATTTACAATTCCTCTGATATTATACACATGTTGCATAACCTGTGCTCTTTCGCATCAGTTAGATGTTACACAGAATAACATGCAGAAACGTCCCTGGAATTCTCACACACATAGCATTCGTTTGACCCAAATCTCGTTTGCAATATGATGTATCTGCCAAAAGATATCACTTTCTCCTGCAAAGCCAGCAATTCCCCCCGGAAATTAAATCGTGTAGGTGCCATCAATCTTTTACCAACAATTTCGGGCGTTTCACGCTCAAAACAGCTCGTCGATGGGAGAGTTTCGCCTGCGACAAGCCTCCACGCGACAACAGTTGCGTTTGCTCCGAGTGCTTGCGAAGTCACATTCTTCCACGTAGCGTAACCTATCGACCTCTGATCAATCACCCCCAGGCCTGGGCGCTAGAAAGAAGCAACGGTAGACGGATGGTTAGACTCATGATAACGGATGCGCATAACCGCATTAGGAAGTATGCGCGGATCGCCACGGAAGAAAGGGGCACTTGTTTGAGAACGATAGGACTACAAGAACTCAGTATAGCCATCGAACGAAGAGTTATGTCCGCTGCGGAATAGAGGCGAATTATTCTAGAAACCAAGTTTTCAAGACTGATCGGAAACAACAAAAATAGTACCATCACCACCAACAACGAGGCGTGGATCAAGAACCTCTCTAGCACACGATTGACTGCTCAAACACAGGATGTTCTTGTTAAAGGACTTAACTTCAATTTCAAAGATGCCACCAATCTGGAGTTCTTGGCCAGCCTAGAGGCAGCTATGAAATCCGCTAAACTGGATGAGAATGCCCA